GAAAAACCCATTTTGCTGGAGAGGTGTCTGGCTGTCTGTTTGTTTAAGATCAACATTATTGAACAACCAGAAACTGAGAGGCAAGTGTTGTAATATCAAAAGGATGTAGTGATGACTGGTTCCTATGAGAAAGAGGATGTGATTGGTTTGTTTCCATAATTTCCAGCTGGCAAAGAATTGAAATTCACTACCTTGGAATCAGGAGGAACTACACCTGCTTATTGGCGGAAAAAGAAGGTTGTTTGACTAGAAGAACTTGTCCAAGGAGCAGAGTGGATCGGAGCTACTCAAGGCCCTCTTCACCAGATAATCAAGGCAGTAGATAACATTGCACTTAAAATGTACCAACTCTGAGGACAGGAAAAATACTTGCAAATGATATGTCTGATAATGATTTAGTACCCAGAATTCATAAAGAAGGCTTACAACTCAACAATAAAAAAGATGAACAGCCCAATTTATCAGTGGACAAAGGGCTTGGATAGTAATTTCTCCAAAAAGTGCTCAACATCATTAACCATTAAGGAAAGACAAATCAAAATCACAATGCTATACCACCTCGTACCAGGGAACATAAACTGATGTAGCTGCTGTGGAAAAGTTTTGTGATTCTTCAAAAAGTTAAACATAGAATTTTCTAGCTCTCTCTCTCTCTCCCTTCCTCTCTGTAAAAAAGCAATAGAACATTTTTTAAAAAAAAATGTACTTAAAAGCTGAAACCGGTTTGACTCAGTGGATAGAGCGTCGGCCTGTGGACTGAAAGGTCCCAGGTTCGATTCCGATCAGGGGTGTGTACCTTGGTTGCAGGCACATCCCAGGTAGGGGGTGTGCAGGAGGCAGCTGGTCAATGTCTCTCTCTCATTGATGTTTCTAGCTCTCTATCTCTCTCCCTCCCTTTCTGTAAAAAAAAAAAAAATCAATAATATATATATATATATATATATATATATATATATATATATTTAAATGTACTTAAACATAAAATTACCATATGACCCAGCTACTCCACACTAAAGTATGTATGCAAAACAATTAAAAAGGGATACTCAAACAAATACTTCTACATGAGTGTTCATAGCAGCACTATTCACTAACCAAAAGGTAAAATATCTATCAACAGATGAACAGTTAAACAAAATGTGGTATAAACATTCAATGGAGTATTATTCAGCTAGAATAGTGAATAAAGTACTAATGATGCTACAATGTAGATAGATATACCTTGAAAACATTAGACTAAGTGGAAAAAAACCTTAGCAGAAAGGTCACATATTGTATGATTTTATTTATATGAAATATCCATAACTGGTAAATCCATACAGACATAAAGCAGATGTGAGGTGCCTGAGGCTGAGGAAACAGGGTGCAGGTTGGGGAAATAGGAGTGACATTTTAATGGGGTTTTCTTTTGGGGATGAAATGCTTTGGAACTAGAGAGAGTTAGTTGGTGGTTGCATAACATTGTGAATATATTAAATGCCACTGAATTGTACACTAAAAAGTTAATCTTATGTGAATTACACCTCGATTTATTAAAACAAGAAAAGAAATTATACCCATGTCCTCTTTTGTCAAACATATACATTTCAGACCCTTTAACTGTTTTTTTAAATTTAAAAGAACACTTGGGTTATAAACTAACCAATCAATGCCACTGAAAGGCACTGGCTTATATGATACATGTACTCCTTGCTCACCACTGACAATCTGAGAGTCATTGTCCCACCAGATGTAGCATTAAATTATTCCATCGGTGCCTATCTTTCCTGCCTTTGCTCTTGCAGTTTCCTAAATACAGTAGAGGGCATTCATTTCTTCATGCCCATGGACACAACAACCAATCTATAATACAACAAGGAATCTCAATTCTAACTGCACATCAGAATCACTTCCAGGAACTTTTAAAAAATAAACACCTCGTGTCTGGGATCCATCAAATGGATCACAATTTCTGTGGGGGGAGGCCAAGAATATGGAGGTTAGAAGTTCATTTTCAAAACTTCCCAGATGACACTAGTGTATAGCAGCCAGGGTTGAGAATACTTACCTAGAATATTTTATAACCATTTCCCTTTAGCCAAGTGGAGTGCTTTCTAAACTCCAGTCATTCATGTACCAGTTTTGGAAAGTTCTGTTTTTCTACAAATGTATCCATTTCATTTGAATTTCAAACTTATTAGCATAAAGTTGTTTATAAGATCTTATCTTTTAATGTCTGTCTATATGTAATGACACCTTTTTTTCCTCACTTATATTAGTTATTTTGCCTGTCTCTTCTCTTTCTCAATAGTCCTCCCTGAGGGCTTATCAATTTCTAGCTGTTTCAGACTAGAACTTTTGCCTGTATTATTTTTTCCAAGGTACAGTTGTCCATTTAATTTCTGCTCTTATCTTATTATTCCTTTCATTCTACTTTCCTAGGGCTTAACTCTTCTTTCTCTAGATGTTTCAGGAAACTTAAATGATTAATTTTTACATCTTTCTTTTTTTCTAATATATGCAATTGAAGGTATAAATTTCCCTCTTAGCAAAGATTTAGCTGCACCTTACAAAGTTTCATATGCTATATTCTCATTATTATTCAGTTTTAAATAATTTCAAACTTTCTTTATAATTTCTTCTTTAGTCTATAGGCTAAAGAGAAGTATACTATTTAATATCCATACATTTAGGGATTATTGATTTCTTATAAATTCCACTGTGGTCAGTAAACATATTATGATATTTTAATCTTATGAAATTTGTTGAGGCCCAGCATAATCAATTTTAGTAAATATTCCGTGTGTATCTGAAAGAAATGTATATCTCATAATCTTTGGTGCAATATGTTTTTACCTATAACTTAGATCAAGCTTACTAATGGTTCTGTTCAGGTCTTTTAGATTCAGATTTTTTTTTTTTTTTTTTGTCTGTTATTCTAAGAGTTAATGAAAGGAAAGTTAAAGTCCTCTCTGTTATGACTGTGGATTTCCTTGTAGTTCTGTTAACTTTTATCTATACATTTGAAGTTATAGCTTCAAAATATATATATTTTACTTATTTTGCTAATTTCCTAAGAGGTATCCCAGTGACCTAAAAGAGTTTTACAACTTATAAAAGTGTTTATTAGTCCCCATAGTGTCATTTACACAGTAGGGAAAACATGGTTCATTATCTCACAAACATACATTACAAGCAAAGAATTTAATAGTTGCAATGACATTTTTGACTAATTAAAACTGGGTTATAATAAAAAGAGGGTTTCTAAAATGAAATTTACCTAAAGAAAGACAAATATTATCATCCAATATTTTCTTTTTCACCATTTTTTTTCAAAAAAAGTATTTATCTATAAAACTATGTATATATTTGGAATTGACTGTATTATCATAAAATGTCCCACTTAACTGCCTTAAATTTCACTTTTCAAATTTCACTGTCTAAATACCAGGGTTTCCTTTCCTCTACATCCTTACCAGCACTCATTTGTTGCTTTATTGATGATATCCATTTCTCATTGTGGTTTTAATTTGCATCTTTTTAATGATTAGGGACATTGAGAATTTTTTCATATGTTTATTCAGCCTGACAATATTTATTAACATGTACATTTAATGTAATCACAGGATAAGTTTGGGTTCATATCTACAGATTTACTATTAGTTAGATTTGAAATTAATGTTCATTTTTCTTCCTTTTCTTGCCTTCGTGTGGATTAATCAAGTATTTGATTTTCCCCATTTATCGCCCCTATTAATTTTTTGCTTGTACAAAATAACTTTAATGGTTATGAGATTATAACATGTATCCTTGATTTATTAGAGTCTAATATAAGTTAGGATTTTACCAAAATCCAGATAATAGTAGGATCTTAGAGCACTTTAACTCCATTTCTACTTCCCAACTTTTGTGTTACTAATACATTATAATTCTAAATATACTTTATGTATATTAGACTTAATAAGATATCCCTCTTTTATTTGTAGTCAAAATTAATTTAGAAATACTCATATTTACTCTTTGTTCCTTCTTGCATTTTCAAATTTCTGTGTGAGATTATTTTTATTCTCTTTTAGGTATGTCCTCTTAGTATAGGTCTGTATTTTCTTAGTTATGATGGTCTGAAATATTTTCATTTTTGCCTTTACTGTTGAAAGATATATTCATTGAATATAGAATTCTAAGTTGGCAATATTATTTTATAGTACTTTAAAAATGTAATTGCATCAACTTCTGGCTCTCAATGATTCTACTGAAAAATTAGCTTTCAGTCTTATTATTACTCTTTTGACATTTAGTCTGTCTCTTTTTCTAAGTACTTTTAATATTTTCACTTTGTCTTTGGTTTACAGCTGTTTCACAATAATTTCCCTAAGTACTTTGGCTCTATACTTACCCTATGCTGTATTTAATACTTCTTGAATTTGTAGCTTGATGCCTCACCAATTTAAAAAATGCTATCATTAATTCTTAAAATATTGCATTTATCCTATGTGCTCTTTTTTCCTTCTCTGTGACTCCAATTATAAGTATATAAGTTCTTTTGGTTGTGTCCTATACATGTCTATCACATTTCTACACAATCCATCTTTTTTGTTGTTTTTTTGTGCTTCGATAAGGATATTTTTTACTGACATATCCTCCAGTTTACTAATCTATTTTTCAGATATGTACAATATGTCATTAAGTCTCTCATTCTTTCTCTGGTTGTCTCTCTGATAAATCTTTTACCTCTTTCATTTTTTGACTAACAGGAAAGAAGTGCTACATGAATATTTGCAGAATTATTACACTTGTCCTCACAGAAGCAAACTAAACTTAAATGAGTCAATTTTGCTATCATTAGCAACTTTAACAAGTGCAGGAGTAGATACATTATAATCTAAATGAATGACTATAATCTATTTAAAAGGAACAGAGCTTTACAAAGTATATATAAAAAATACCACAATCTAAGTCACATTTTACTCCATGTTTTATACTGGCTTGATATTAAAAGTATATTTTAAAAAGATACTTACTCTCTCTCCTTTTCTGTCAGCTTGTCGTTGATATTATCTTTGATTGTTGATCTAGATCCCTTATGAATTATAGGATATCTGAGGGGCACTTGCAGGAAAAAGGAAATCATGGAGACCAAATGTGCAGTGTAACCAAGGGCAACAGCAATGCTTCCATCATCTTTTGCTGTAAATTAAAAGCAGAAGAAAACATTTATTTACCTTCTAAATGTAGCTATGAGATCATAATAAGTCAATTTCAAAGAAGACTTTATTAAGAAATAACTGGTAAATAAAATATTGATCTTATCTAAATTACAGTTTACATTTATAATCTTAAACTCAATTATACATTTACATTATAAACTTAATTCAATTATATGAATTCTAGACAAATTTAAACACATTAATAATACTTAAAATTTACTTTACTATATTTAAAACTATTTCCCAATAATTAATGTGGTGAGATTAACATTTAATATATATATATATATATATATATATATATATATATATATATATATATATTTAAAGAAAGAATTCTTAATATATTCAAATATCATTACTTTCTTTCCCAGCATTTTTGAAGGTAGAAATAATAGTGGAGTTTATTATACAATGTGAAAGTTAATTTCAGAGGCTTAAATATAATGTACATTTTATTCATTATCAACTTATAAGCAATACAGTTGTGCTGGTATTATTAATTCTATTATGAAGTGAAATAGCATAATCTTAATTAAATCTATTATGAATTATTAATTCTATTATGCAGCATTATTAATTCTATTATGAAGTGAAATAGAATAATCTTTTATAGGGTATGTTCTCAATATTCATAAAGATAGTTTTGCATAAATAAGTTTGTGAAGTCTGAATAACAATAAAGGAGGAAATGTTTTAAATAGTAAAAGCAAAAAACTAAAAAGCCACACTATTAATATATCCTAGAAAAAAATGCATGCATCCTCCAGTCAAACATAAGTAACTGTCTTTTAAGAAGTCACAGAATTATATTTTTAACTCACCATCCAGATTTCTGCTATCGCCTACCAAGTGATAATCTTTTAGGTACTTAAAACTGAGTAATACAGCAAAAAGTTTAACTTGACCCAGGAGGAAGGAAAAAGGTACTGCTTGGTATATGGTATTCCCAAAATACTTTAAAAATTTCACACACAAACACAAACACATGTGCACATATACTAAAAGATTTAACACATCATCTGAAATACCTCCAACCAAAGAAAGAAAGGCTGTAATACTTGAGATGGCCTTGGCTTGAGTATTTCCTGATTTCTAAGAGTATGTTTAACTTCAATTATTAGTAATATTTTTCACACTCTTCTTTTTTTACACATAATTTTCTAAGCATTACTTCTTGTTGTAGAAATGCCATTATAGCCATCTAGTCCTCGGTGTAACCAATGGCAACAGCAATGCTAGTGAACTCTCTACCCTTGATTACCATAGCAGACCCTTGGTTTCTCTTGAATCATATTATAAAAACAGGTTACTTTTATTATATTAATCTGCCAGAATTGACCATAATACTTTATTTACGACAGTTCTTCATTCATCCATAATGACTAAACTGGGCACTTTTTGTATGCTATGTCATTCATTTTACAGATTAAGAAACTAAGGTTCAGAGAAGGTAAGAAATGTGTCTAGTATGCAAGTAGCCTGACACTGTCTTTGTCCTCTAGGCAGTCTAGCATACTGTTCTAGAACTTAACTGTGGAATAGATAAATTTTTAACTTGGAAGCCTAGAACATACCAAGCATATGACACACATGTACCACCTGAGTTTCTTTGCTGTTTTATAGTAATGGCAAAGAACATATAAAAAGTCTGTGAGCCCTCAGTGACTTGTATAGTACCAGACAGAGAATGGACTTCTCAACCAATGTTTGATGTTCTCTCAAACCAAACTGATGGGGGGGAAAAAAATCAATCAGCATTCATTTCAATGACAGTGCTGAGTCATGCCCTAACTGACTAGAATCCTATTTTTTTAGTCCTAACTATTTTTAAAGACTTTGTCCTCTTGCTACAGTCCCACCCAAGTACCTTGAATACCACAACACTCTGCTTCAATTGAAATCTGTAATTGCACTACCTTTGAGACTAACATTACATTATACTGTAAAGACATCACATTATAATTAATCATCATGTAATATCAGAGTTAGGAGAAACCTTAAAGCCAGAGTCTAATGCTATCCATTTAGAGATGAAAAAAAAAAATGAGATCTAGGTGATAAGTCACATAGTCAAAGCCATAGATATAACCCATGAGTAAGAGGGAGAATTGTGCCTATACCCAGGCCCCCAAAACATCGATTTGTGCAGTCCCAGCTGGAATGGTGAGCTGTGTCAGAGGTCGCTGAGTCTGTAAAGAGGCTTATCAAATTTACATTACTCAAGGACTTGGTCTTTAAGAGCCTTCTTTGGAAGGGAGAGAAGATGAAGAAGATGGCTTACAGTAACAAAGGATCACACTACCCTAAATCTGAACTTTCCTGTATGTGCTTCACACTAAACTTGTTCTTTCCTATATGACATGACAGAAGCAACAAAAGGCCTTTTAATTAGCTTCCCATATAGGTCAAATGCAAACTATAAATGTTTTAAAAACATCTCCAATGCTAAACACTCAAGCATCTACCTTCCCCCCCCCATATTACTGAAGGGCTAATACTAAAGAATTACATTTGCGTATTTTGAGACTACATCCACATAGTTATTAATAAAACAAAAATTGGTTTTCTAATATCACCTCTTTTCAATGATGAAAACAATTTTGCTTAAATTTAGTGATAAAATGGTATCTCCAAGAAGCCTATATATGCAAACTGAAAACAAAAACAAAACAAAAAATAGCAAAAACTAGAAACTGGGTAATATTGGAAATTAGCTTCGATTCTGGTTATTCACACTCACCATCATTTCCACCACAAGACCCGCCGTCCCACCTATTAAAAACCCCAGGTTGTTTCCTCTCCTAGGCCATCGTGCTCAGGCACAGCCTCACTGTTAAACACCAGGGTGTTGGATTTCCAATATTAAAGCTTTATATTAAAAAACATTTTAAGAGGACCACGGGTGAGGCATTACAGGGCCCAAGGGTATTCCAATACCCTCAAAAGGAAAACCACCTCCTGGTAGGGAAGTCACTGTCATCACCCCAAGACCACGGAACCTCCAGTGGGAAAATGTGAGCTCATGTGGTTAATTATGGCTATGGCTGGCCACAAAACCTCAGATGTCACATTCTGTTGCCAATCACTTTAGCTAAGAAACCAAAAGGTTTAAGGTTTCCAGCATTCCAAGATCTAAAAGACTTTTTACCTGCCAACGCCAAAACCTGGCCCTCTGGGGTGTACTTTTCCAGTAAGCATTAATGACGTCCCTAACACCTAATGCAGAGCAGAGGTCTGTGTTCTTTGTGCTGCTCTGGGGGTTAGAAAGGTCACAGATGATAGTTTTGTCGGTGAGAAGAAGTTGGAGGGGGAGTTCAGGGAGGAACAGGAATAAAATGTAAGACTCAGGTACGTAAAAAAAAAAAAAAAAAAAAAAAAAAATCCTAAAAAAACTCAATGTTTTAAGTGGCTTCAAACAAAATAAAAATCTGCAATTTCCTCATAATAAATATTTCTGATTTTTTTTAAATGCTGGTAGTTACTCAGGTTTGCAGCTGTTGTATAACTTTTTGATAATAAATTCCACAAATACACACCCTCCACGACAACATTATAAATTAGTTCAAATGTCTCTTTGACTTATATGCTGGACAAACTATCAATGTTCAAATGCATCCATGTACAATAAGTGATCTAAAAGCTCTTACCATCCTGCCTTGCCAATCACTGAGGCAGCTGATTCGTTAAGGAACCAAGCACCCACTGATCCAGACAGGACAAAATATTTAAGACTCTAACCACTGCCACAGCATCTATGGAATCATTCCATGTTCCCAGTGAGACACTGTTTGACATATGGACTCTCCTTTCCAAGAAAGCATGCCTGCATAAAGGGATACAGACACAGAAGGAAATCTGGGTCTCATTACAACAAAAGGCTCTGGTGTTATGGATTACTTAAAAAGACACACAACTTATTTTTTTTTTATTTTTATTTATTTATTTTTTTTACAAGAAATGTCTCTGTCAGTGGAACTCAAATGAATACCTTCACAGGACAACGTACTTCCATTGTGTGCAGGCCTCTCTGACATGCTTTAACTCACCCAGTTAGAAAGGCACAGTAAGTTTTGGGCCACTGATTTCCCAAATAGTACTAGGCCATGCAGTGTGGAGTCTATCCCAGCAAAGTCTCATTAATCACACAGGATAACCAGTTTGGAATTCCTCCACTAGAGTCTCACCGAGAACGCATCTGTTACAGAACACTAAAGGCTGGCAGGAGTTTGGAAGAAGTTATTACTCCAAACAAGGAAGAAAAGTGCACCATGACAGGAATAATATGTACCTTAAAATTGGGCTGACCAGGGATGACTTTAGTTCTGCCACTGGTTAGCATGAGTCTTTGGGAAAATTAACTAATCTCTCTGAGCCTCAATTTTCTTGTATTAAAAAAAAAAAAAAAAAAAAAAAAAAAAAGGAGTGTAATTTCCTCCCTCAGAGAAGATTTAATTAACAAGATAGCATTGTACATGATATTCCATGCTATCGTATTTCTATTCACCCAATCTAAAATGTCCTGCTACCCTTCTCTCAACAGGGGAATATTATTTCATTTTTTAAGACACCTCAGCCACCCTCTTTGCTAAAAAGGCTTTTCTGAACCCCTCCTGAAAGACTGATTATGCCCATTTCTTTGAGTCCCACATACTTGGTATAATTCCTAAGTGCCTGACACAGGGTATGAATGCAATAAATATTTCTTGATTGGCTTGATTACAAGTGTGATAGCCTCAACTGGACTGAAACTTCCCTGAGGTAGGCTCTCAGCACCTGGCACAGGAGATGACACACACAGGCGCTCAGTAAATTGAGTACTATATGGAAATGCCTTGCAGAGTGCTAACATACAATTCTGAAGCCCAATACCACCATATGTGCTTCTTAAAATGTCTGATTCCCAGGAGTTATGGGGCATGAATAGGGCCTTAGAGTGAAAGTAAACAATTATTTCATTTTATCTCCCATTTTTCAGCAACTAAAAAAGCTGAACTTCTATTTTAAAGAGTATGAAGAATTTATTCAGCTTGTTGGCCTTCCCTCCACCCCTCCTTCCCTCCCTCCCTTCTTTCTTTCCTCCCTCCTTTCCTCCTCCTTCTATCCTTTCTCTCTTGCAATTAATTTCAAGTACATTTATATGAGCACATTTAAAAGGAAAAGCATTTTCAAATGTTATCTCATTCAATCATCACAATGAATTGGAGGTGCAGATATTACCTCATTTTTTTACAGGTCAAGAAAGTAAGCTCTGAGAGATTATATGACTGCCCAAAATATAGGTCTTTTCTCCCATTCCCCTCATCCTGAGTTTTGTAGGTATATCAAGCCCATTACTGCCATCCAGACCTTTGTACTTGTTGCTCCTCTTCTAAGTAATGCTTTCCCCAACTGTAATATAGTTGGCAGCTTTCAGCTTCAAATTTTTGGTTAAATGCTTCTCCTCCGAAGTTGTTCTCTGTTTTATCTAAATTTAGGTTCCTCTATTGTCTAAGACAGCATATTCCTTTACTAAATACTTGTTACATACTTATTTTCTTATTTATTAGTGCAATAGGCTGTATATGCTCCATGAAAGGAGAGAACATATTTTTCTATCACCATATCCTCAAAACTCAGCACAATACCTGAGTTGAATTAATATTTTTTCAATAAATGAATGTTCTGTATCCCTGGAACCTGGCACAGGGCTCAAAGTACTCCGTAGCTTTGCTAAATAGTTGAATGAGGAAAAAGATGTGTCATGGGCTTTAAGACACCATAACTTTGCCTAAAATCACCACAAAAGCAATTTGTATGACTTACAGAAATTGGAAGGAACACGGTACAGTGAAGACCAGGCAAATCCCAGTTAGATTATTACCTAGCTTTGTGGTCTCTGGAAAATCAGTAAATAGCTCATTTACACATTGTAAGACTATTACAAATGAGACTATACCACCTTCCTTATGGGTTTCCTATGTTTGTTTTTGTAAGGATTAAAGATAAGGCAAAATATTATGCTTTTATAGATATAATCTTCCCAACATGAATTAATATGTTCATACTATCAATTAGGAAGTCAACTCAAAGCTTAGATGACTTGCTCCAAATTACATGGTTTCTAGAAAGTGACCAAGGATTGAATACAAATTTTTCCATTCCTGTCTTATCACTCTTCTTTTATCAGGTCCCAACTACTTGTTGTAAAGGACAATCTACACTAATAAAAGAGAAATACACAAATTAGCTGTCACTCCACTATACCCACAAGCTACACCCACCAGCCAATCAGGAGCGAGTATGCAAATTAACCAAACAAGCCAGTGGCTGGTCATGTAGCGGAGCAAGCAGGAGGCTTGGGTTGCCTCGGCGATGGAGAAAGCCAAGCTTCCCTCCTGCCCTGGCCAGCCCTAGCCTCCACTCAAGGCTACAAACTTTCAATTATAGAAGATAAATAAATCCCAACAAAAATGGCAGCAACCATAGAGCTGGAGAGAGCAGGAGGCTTGGGTTGCCCTCAGCAATAGAGGAAGCCAAGCTTCTTGGCCTCTGCTCAAGGCTACGAAGTTTCAATTATAGAAGATAAATTCTAGATACTTGTTTCCAGCCAGCCCTGGCCTCCGCTCAAGGAGGCACTAGAAAAAAAAAAAAAAAAAAGGAGGGGCTGGGACCTTGGGTCATTGGGGGGTGATCAGGCCAGGATGGGATGGCAGGGACCATTGGGGGAGCAGACCTGCAGGGGGGCCAGTTGGGGATGAGCAGGCCGTCAGTGGGGGTCAGTTGGAGGTGATCAGGACAGTGGGGGAGGGGCAGTTTGGAGTGAGAAGGCCAGTAGGGGGGCAGATGGGAGTGAGCAGGCCAGTGGGGAGGGAAGGTGGGAGTGAGCAGGCCAGTGGGGAGGGAAGGTGGGAGTGAGCAGGCCAGTGGGGAGGGAAGGTGGGAGTGAGCAGACCAGCGTTGGTGGGGGCAGTTGGGGGTGATAAGGCTGGCAGGAGGGGTGCACTAGGGGGCAAGCAGGCTGGCAGGCAGAGTAGTTAGGGGCAATCAGGCAGGCAGGAAGGCAGGTGAGTGGCTGGAGCCAGCAGTCCCAGATTGTGAGAGGGATGTCTGACTGCCAGTTTAGGCCCAGTCCCTGTAAACCGGCAGTAGGACATCCTTCGAAGGGTCCCAGATTGGAGAGGGTGTGGGTGGGGCTAAGGAACATCCCCCTCACTCCATGCACAAATTTCGTGCACTGGGCCACTAGTAGAGATAATAAATCAAAATGGTCTTAAATGTTAAAGGACCATAAATAACAATATTTCCTTTACAGGGAAATGGAAGGACATCCCAACCAATATGCTAGCTTTGAAAATAATCTATAAAGCTATTTAACAGGCCTAAAGCACTGTGTACTTTGCTAACAATAAAAATATTTTATGGCTAAATATAATAAGTTATTTTCTTTGGCATACTGGTAAAGAGAATAGGAAAATTAAATATTTTAAAATCAGCAATTACTATGAATCATAGTATATATTATCTTTAATATAATTTTTTTAATTAAAAGAGAGCAGAAATGACAGAACAACTTATCAACTTATATCTGTCATAGTGGGAAAGTAAAAAAAAAAAAAAAAAAAAAAAAAAAATTTTTTTCCAAATACATTTCACATCAGCAGAAATAGATTTTCTAAATAATAACAAATTAATGTTTGTTATTCTCTCTGCTCCCAACCACATATAAATTTGTCATGAAAATCAAAGCAAAAGAATAGGGAGGTTATAAGTATTCTTACGTACCCCATTGTCTAATTTACTTAAAGCCCTTTAAAAAATATTTTCTTTTAAGTTTCAAATATAATATGCAACTATTACCCCCATGATTAGCCTTTTAAGTCTATCAGAGAATCTGACTCTATATCCTCACAATTGGGAAGGGATAAAAGATCCAAGACTCTTCTGGTGAAAGGCTAGGCAACAATATTTTAAGATATTCTATTTTTCCCTGCAACATACTCATATACTATATACAGCAAATACTTAGAAGTAAAATAAATAAAATACCTTGGAAGTCCTCAGAATTGGGCAATTTGACACCACATACAAAATAATCCTTATGCTCATTCTGTGAATATAACCAAAGAATTAAATTAACTGTTTTTATGTATAAAGCAAAGTAACTCTAAATCAAATCTTTAAGAATTCAACAGGTTAGTGTTAATTCAAAGACAATATTGTCCTTGACTTAAAATACTATCATAATTGTTGAAGCTGGATGATTAGTATATGATGATTCATTATACCCCTATATATTTATATACTTGAAATTTTCTATAATATAAACATTTAAAATAGTAGGTCTAAGCAAAAAGCCATATAAAATTTTATCATAAAAATATCCTTTGCCCAATTCATAGCAATAATTGAAAAATCTTAAATAGAATTAATAAGATTTACGAGCAACCTAAAATCCTATTAACTTTCCACTCAAAATATTAGTCTTTTAAATGAAAAATTAGTCTTCATTCAAAAAACACATCAAATTTAGCAGATTTGGTTCTCTTAAAAGAATCTAGTCAGTTTTAATAAAGTTTTACTTTTTGCATTTACTCCAAGAACCTAGATTAAAAAAACTTAACAGTCTGACAGGAATAGCTGAAGTAATACTAATAAATATAAATTAACTAATAATTATATTTTTTAAGGAGAACACATGTACTGTATCTGCATGTATGTGTCAGAAATGGTGGTAGTTGAGTCTGACCAGTGCAGCTTAGTGGTTGAGTATCGATTCATGAACCTAGAGGTCACTGGTTCAATTCCTGGTCAGGACATATGCCCAGATTGGGGGCTTGACATCCAGTAGGAGGTGTGCAGGAGACAGCCAATCGATGTTTCTCTCTCATCAATGTTTCTATATTTCTATCCCTCTCCCTTCCTATCTCTAAAAATCAGTAAAAAATATATTTAAGAAAAAGAAATGGTAGTAGCTGATAATGGGTTTGAGTGAAAAGGATCCTAAAGATTTTGGTATTCTTTCAGATGAAGATGAGCACATCCCTCCAACATATTGGTATGAAAAATTAATGGTGGAACTTAATGCCAACCAAATCTAAATCTATTTTTAAAATAGATATTAGCTCTGGAGTGAAATCATAACAGAGCATATGACTAAGACTAGAGCAATGGGTTTTTTTCATTGAGAGGAAATTTCAAATAAAAATCATCTTTTAAAATAAAACAAAACGTTTTTTCAGAGAATTTGAAACTCACCAAATCAATTGGGTAAATGTAGGAAAGCTCAGATAATAACTGCCTGCAACGAATAGTCAACTGAGCATTAGTCTTCAGAAAAAGTTCTCTAAGGAGAGGAGAAAAAGTACATTTGTTAAAAATATATATATATATATTCTTACATGCTTTCAAACATTTCCACAGAAAAATATTGCACTGTCTATACTAGGCCACAGAAACTTAGCAGTAGAGACAAGAATAATATTTAACATATAACCTGACCTATCTCTCAATACTATCAATCAAGCCAACTCTATACATACTGAGGCCTAATATGTATGTATACCCTTTAAGGGATGTAAAGGGTATAAATCATCACTGACCAAGCACCTACTACTATATGCTAGGAGCTTTACAAATGCTTTGTTTAATTATTATAACAACGCTATTAGGTTGATATTATTATATCCATTTTATACAAGGAAACAAGGTTTAAAGAGGACCCACAAGGCAACCACCATCTCATTTAATATGATTTCACGGCATATCCATCTAGTAGTTCCTCAAAAAAAATATTTTATTTTTCACTTGCAACTACATGTTACAACTACATTAAAAACAAAACAAAACAAAGCAAAAAAAAACAAAAAACCACTGCCACGTTAGGAAAATAATTTAAGAAAAAGAACAAACAAGAAAAAACTGTGGCACGAGATGATACAGCTCTTCTTTTGAACTGCTTAAGAAACATAAACAACAGATGAAACACCTACAGTACAAATATCTGCTCAACTGTATTAAAATGTAAGGGGGGAAATCATTTAGGAGAAGCTGACGGTCAAAATGAAATGTAAACATAGTTGTATAATGCAAACAGCACTGAAGACATAGAGGATCGAATTCTGCTTTCCTAGTGAGTTGGACAAAGAGTAACTTCCAAGAGCCTTATTTTCTTATCTGCTAATTGAGAGGAATAGGGGCTTAATTACAAGGAACAACAGCCTGTAATTATTGGAATCGAGAGTCTAAGTCAGTGATTGGCAAACTCATTAGTCAACAGAGCAGCAAACTGCGGCTCGAGAGCCATATGTGGCTCTCGAGCCACAGTTTGCCGACCACTGGACTAGGACTAGATGAAATCCAAGGTTCTTTCTAAGTCTAACTTTCTTGAGTCCTCAATTGCTAAGGTTTTTTAAAGAAAAATGTATGATGAAATTACTCCCCTGAAAAAAAGAAAAGAATAAGGATGAGCAAAAAAATAGAGGAGGCAATAAATTAAGCATGCACTGGAAAACAAACAAACAAACAAACAAACAAAACAAAAAAAAAAACGAGAGAGAGAGAGAGAGAGAGAGAGAGAGAGAGAGAGAGAGAGAGAGAGAGAAGCATTAGCATTTGTTAAGTGAACATTGTGGAGTGACTGAAATTACCGTGTTTCCCCGAAAATAAGACATCCTCCGAAAATAAGACCTACTTACAGGTTTCCTTCTGAGTGAAATATAAGGCATCCCCCCCGAAAATAAGGCCCCCCTAGGCTAAACATGAGAGATTTGGTCCACTGATTCTGAAAGAAATGGAGTCACAAGAAATTCACCAGGAAATTCAGGAATTGGATTGTTATGATGATGTTCCAGAAGATGATGACATGATTGTCACTGAATAAATGAGTAAATTCTTGATACTGTAGGATTCATAGTTTGTCTGGTTTGTGTTGACAACTACCGTACTACTGTACCGTATACAGGTAATAAATTTCCTTTATTTTCATTTAACAATAACTGTGTACCATATTCTTCTTCATGGAAAAATAAGACATCCCTGAAAATAAGACCTAGCGCATCTTTGGGAGCAAAAATTAATATAAGACACTGTCTTATTTTCAGGGAAACAGGGTAGCTACAGTATAGCACCAACTTACTGAAGGTTATTTGAAAAGTTAAGCAAAACAATCACCATAGCTCTTAAAAAAAGAAAAAATATCTGGTAAAAATAGAGGAGAGGTCTGATAACGTAGAGGATAAAATGGAAAGATGGAGAGTATGTTAGAGAGATCATCTAGGAGCTGTTGAGGTAATCAAAATGAGCTAATAACATTAAACAGGAATAAATTTAAAGAAATTACTGAAGAAAAAACTATCAACTCTACTACATGTTGAAGATAGAAAGAGAAGATTCGTCATCAAGTCATGGTGCTATGACCTTGAAAACTAAACAGTTCTCATTTCTGATTATGAGTATATACTAGGAGCTTTAATAAATGCCTCTATTACAGTGTATGACACGTATAACACATAGTAAGTGCTTAATATATATTTGTTGAATAAATGAATATGGCCTGAGGTGTTTGGAATACAAATTAATAGCAGCAACTTTTAAAGAATCCTACTTTTCCAAACCCTATCCTTGACACTCTCAACAATTATTCTGAGTTTCATTTACCTTTTTGCAGTACACTCTTTCCTCAACTCATTTAGGGATTCCTTCTGGAGTTGAAGCTTGAGGTGCTCAGTTGAAAATGTACTGCCTGGAAGGAGATGGAAGAAGACAAGTCCACATGTTACAGTGCACAGAGAGATGCTCCCTCACAACCCAACAGGCACAGCCCAGGCACGACTGTGAGAGGGAAATAAAGAGTTAAAAGGCAAACAAAATAGGTTGGGTATAGAGGTCTTCTGGAGGGGATTAACTGGAATAAGTTTCCCTATTGGTTTAATTTTTATAAACGTCCAGCCTCTGGCAGCTGTCAGAGAGTAAGTATCTAAGATCCCCTCACACAGATTTCTGGATTGCTGACCAATAAACTCTGGTGGGATTTCAAAGTTCAAACATCTTCATTTTTTTTTTTAAGTGGCTACCAGCTCTGGGTATTAATGATGATTCTCTAAAGGTTCATCAATTGTAACAAACAGACCACTGTGGTGGGGAATGTCAACAATGGGGGAGGCTGTGCACATGTGTGGGTGTATGAGAATTCTCTGTCCCTTTTGCTCAATTTTGCTATGAACCTAAAACTGCTCTAAAAATAAAGTTCATTTCTTAATAATTAATTTCTGTTCTATCAAAAACGCTATATAACATTACTATATGTTATTACTACCATATTATTCATAAGGATATGCAGTTTTAGCTACAATCACATGCACAGAAAATGTATATTCTGATTTTTCCATATTATGTCACAAGCATTTTTATATGTTTACAGATAATCTGATTTGTGATGTTCAATGGCTGTATAAAATTCAACTCCAGGGGTATAAATTATATGAATATTCCACATTCTAACTGATACCCCATGCCTTAATCCTAATACAGAACATTTAGTTTTCTTTAAGTGCTTGCCGTAGCACTGCAATGATTAATATGTGTTTAGGTGCCTATTTTTTGAATTTACATCAATTTTTGGAACTTCCATTTATATTTATGTGATCACAAAAATCCTTTTACATCTTCCTACTCTAAGAAAATGAGGGTCTTACATTCTTGACAATCCAGGCCTGCCTGACAATTCCAGCAGTCCTGAAGCACAGAAAAAGTCTTAGATCCTGATAACACTAAGTTGTAGATCTTACAGAGGAATTTAGTTTCGTGAACTCTGATCCTACAGGAAAGGGTGCCCTCTACTCTTTTGCACATCTCCTACAGGGTGGGACAAGAAGTAGATTAGCTGACCAAAGTAGTACTCAATTGACCAACGTAGGGAATTTTATCAACATCTCTAAGCATCTTATTTTTCTTCCTCAACTACAGTTAAGTGATAGTAAGTTGGTAGCTCTGCTTCCAAAATAGAACTTAATCAAGGAACACCGCCTATCTTCTTTAGCGCCAATATAATTCAGCCCCAAATTTTCAACCTCAATGATTTCAGAAAACATTTAAGTTAACAACTTCCACCCTCCACACCATGTACTTTCTATCAGAATGCACACAAATTCCTCTACCACTACGGAAATTTGCAATATTATTTTTCATAGATAAATTAGGCTGCCTCAACTCTAATATTGCTGGTGAAACCACAAATAGGGACAAGACAGATATAGACTTCAAGAAGCAAATGTATATATCCTCCTCAGAACCTATTACATGACCAAAAGGGTGGGGGATGGAGGAGGGATGAGAGACACAGAGACTTGAAGAGTGAAGGAAAATTTAAATTTAAGAATATATTAGCCAGCCGAAACCAGTTTGCTCAGTGGATAGAGCGTCGGTCTGCAGAATAAAAGGTCCCAGGTTCGATTCCGGTCAAGGGCATGTACATTGGTTGCGGGCACATCCCCGGTAGGAGAGTGCAAGAGGCAGCTGATCGATGTTTCTAGCTCTCTATCCCTCTCCCTTCCTCTCTGTAAAAAATCAATAAAATATATTAAAAAAAAAAAAAAAAAAGAAGAAGAAGAAGAATGTATTAGCCAGCTAACACACAGGGTAAAATATTGACAAAAGGTAAATCAGGATGAAGAATATAGGTGGTCTCTGTACTCTTCTTATTCTTATAATTTCTCTATAAGTTTAAGATGATTTCCAAATAAAAAATAAAAGCATTGATCCAAACCCAGAGAGGGGTCACCTGCGAGGCTATGGTTTTCCACAGGCTTTAGAATGCACACTGGCACCATCTCTCCAAAACATATCAGGCTCAATTTTCTATCAAATGGTAACACACCTCATTGGTTATTAGTGGACTCTGGGACAAAACTGAGTTTTAGCTAGGCTCGTACAGAGAAGAGCTAAGTATTTGAAGATATCTCAAAAAATAACCCAAATTCCGAAAGTCACATTATAAAGAGTAATAATTCTGAGGCAAGGATGTGCTCAATCACTTTAGATGTTGTTCAGGTTATGTATCACCATCCTGAATATTACGATCGGTGTTGTGTCCTAAAAATAGTGCTGCTGGTGGAAATGGGGTTCTTTCCCGGGATCACAAGAATAGCATTCTGAGAGACCCATGCAGTGGGAATTGTGGCATGACAAGATTTATTTGGGTGGAGACAGAAGGTTGTTCAGGTTTCCAACGTCTCTTCTCCATCCGTCCCCACCTTGGAAAAAATCCAATTTTGTTTTCATTAAGCCCAGAAATAGGGCCAATGTCTAGAGACTGTGTGCCATGTCAAAGTTTAGTCCAGTTCCTGGCTGTGCTAGGGCTGGCTGGTACTGCTATGTCCAGCACCCAGGCTGGGCTTGGAGACTGCTTGAAGTCCACACAGCTGCTGGGGCCACACAGCTGCTGCAGAGACAGTGTGTGAACAAACCTGGCAAGCCTTTTACCAGAGAGAAAGCTTCTTTGTTAAGTTGTGATTACATTATCACTAGAGGCCCGGTGCACGCAGAAATCCTCAGTCTGATGCTTACTGCCTGCCGCTTACTGCCTGCCGCTCCTGCTCATCCCAGCCCCGCTGCGCCTGCCTCGGGCTTGTGCCCAGTTAGTCCCTATCTGGAGAGGCTCAGGCCGCTGCAGTGGCACTCATCAGGCCGCTGCAGTGGGGATTGCTTCTGGTGCCCAACTGGGGGGTGGGGGGTTGGGACATGATGGGCCCTTCAGGTGGGGGTGGGACACCCTAGCTGGCCTGGGATCTGGATCCATCCCACAGATGTTCGAGCCCGTTGTCTGGAGCCTTGATATCATTTCTTCCTTGCGGGGTGTCTAGGGAGGGGAAGCAGCTGCAGATTGTGCCTGGGGCACCAGTCTGTGAGTGCCTTGCCATCCTCCGAAGATTGGATCTACAGGACTACTGAGGGAGGGAGTGGCTGCTGCCCGGCTGGTGGGCCACTGGGATAGGTTGGTCACTGAGCAGTGCTCCGGCTGTGGGAGCGCACTGATCACCAGGGGCAGCTCCTGCATTGAACATCTGCCCCTGGTGGTCAGTGCACATCATAGCGACCGATTGTTTGGTTGCTTAGGCATATGTATATTTTTTATATATATAATTGGGTTTGGGAAAGCCCAGACTTTTCTTCAAGTTAACCAATCAACTTTCCAAGCTTTCATATACTTCTGATGGATCCACCCCCTAACCAATCTATTTCCTAAGTCTTCTGGGGTTCTGTGTTCCTTATCCAATGCAATCCTTTTCCCAAGCTAGACAAACAGGCCTCTATGGTTGTCATCTTGGCTCCTCATGCCTCATAGAAGAACTTTCCCCCATTGTCTGAGCCAGTGGACCTGGGAGATTGAAAAGTCAGTTCTTTCTCCCTATATAGGTTGTAGGGCAATGCTGTAATCCCCTGGGATTTGTGAAGCAGTAGCTTCCTGGTTAAGCAGGCTTATGCTCCCTAGTTAATTATCTTATCTAATAAAGACAGAATATGCGAATTGACTGTCACTCTGCAACAATTATGATGGTGCCCATAGCCAATAAGAAGGGAATATACAAATTGACATGAAAAAGATGGCGGCTGCCAGGGCATGGAGAGAGCTTCAGGAGGGCAGCAGGACCAAAGCAAAGGTGGAAGGCAGTAGCCAGAGTGATTCTCTCTCATAATTGATGTTTTTATTTCTTTCTTCTTCTCCCTTACTCTCTGAAATCAATAAAAATACATTTTAAAAAAATAAACTGTGTTTCACATACAACTGTGAAATTACTTTTGCCTCACTCTATATATATAGCCACTCCAGTCTTCTTTTGATTAGTATTTGCATGGCATACTTTTTCCATTTTTTACCTTTAATCTATGTCTATATATTTAAAAAAATAAAGTAAAAGTGATTTTCTTGCAAATAGCCTTTATTTAAGCCTTTTTTTAATATATAAAATCTAAACAATCTCTAATTTTTAATTGCAGTATTTAGACCATTTACACTTAATATAATCACTGATATGTTTAAAGTCTACCATTTTACAAGTTATTTTCTGTTTGTTCCGTTATCCTGATTTTTTTATGCTTTTGGATTGAGGTTTTGTGTGTGTGTGTTTTGTTTTGTTTTTGTAGTTGCCCCAGAGTTTACAACATAAAATTTTAATTAGTAATTCAAATAGTGTAATGCCATTCAAATAGTGTAAAAACCCAAGAGTACACCTAATTCTTACCTTCCCCACTGTTCAAATTCTTCATACATCTTACTTTATGCATGTTATAAACCCTAAAACATTGTTAATTATACATTTAAAAAAAAACAATTGTTTTTTAGAGCAATGAAAAATCAGGGGGAAAAAAGCCTTTATAATATCTTCATTTCAACCATTTCCAGAAATCTCCAAGTTTTATGTAGAGCTATGTATTTGGTATCATATTCCTTTAACACTTCTTGGAGTGTAGGAGTGCTGATAATGAATTATCTTAGTTGTATCTGAAGGAGTCTCTTTGAGCTTCAGTTAGGGTAATTTCGATGACCTATCTTCAAGTTCAGTGATTCTTTCCTCAGTTGTATCATCTACTGATGAGTCTGTCGAAAGCATTCTTTACCTCTGGTACTGTGTATTTTTATTTATAGCATGTCCATTAGACTGTTTCTTATAGTTTCCACCTCTCAGCTGAAACTCACCATATGTTTGTATATGCTATCCACCTTTCCACAAAAGCCTGAAGCAC